GCCCAGGCTGGCCTCGAACTCACAGAGATCCGCCTGGCTCTGCCTCCCGAGTGCTGGGATTAAAGGCGTGCGCCACCAACGCCCGGCTCCAAGTCTTATTTTTATTTTTATTTATTTAGTTAGTTTTATTATTTTGAGACAGGGTTTCTCAGCGTAGCCCTGGGTGTCCTGGAACGCCCTCACTCTGTAGACCAAGCTGGCCTCAAACTTCATCCTGCCTCTGCTTCCCGAATGCTGGGATTAAAGAAGTATGCCAGGACCGCCCGGCTAGATACCAAGTCTAAACAGCTTGAGTTCAGTCCCTGGAATCTAGATGGAGGAAGGAGAGAACAAGTTTGTGCAAGTTGTCTTCTGACCTTCCCTTCACCACACACAAGTAAACAAATAAATTAATAAAGAGTAGATGAACGCATTCTTCTCTCAGACCCCTTCTGCAGGCGTGAGAGGGCGGATTGTATAGGCCCGTTCTTCAGACGGTGCTCCTCCCTCCTGGGGGTGGGTGGGTTAGACAGAACCCACCTCTTTAGCTGCTGTGGCTGCTGCTTCTGTAGCTCTGTGGCAGCCACAATGGCCACAAGGTTCTCCTTCTGTCTGTTGTCTTCTGAGTTAGTTCATTGTAACTGTAGTATTGGCAGGATAGTAAGAGAAATGATCATGTTAAAGACAGAAGTTCCTGGGGCTAGAGAGATGGCTCAGTAGTTAGGGGTACGGATGGCTCTTCCAAAGGCCCTGGGTTCAAATCCCATCACCCACATAGCAGCTAACAACTGTCTATAATTCCAAAATCTGACACTGTCACACAGACTTACCTGTAGGCAAAACACCAATGCACATAAAATAAAAGTAAATTTTTTAAAAAGTTTATTTAAAATAAATGACAGAAGTTCCATGTTCAAGGGCACTTAAAAGATGAAGGCTACATCACTTACTTGCTACAGGGTCTAGTTAACAGCCCTTCTGTTTCCAGGCAGGTTGCCATAGGGCTACCATCTGTGTACTGTTTAAAGGCTTCTGGGTAAAGCGATGGACAAGCCCAGCCAGCTTGGAGTTGTATTGACCCAGAGGGAGGGGTGCCATTTTATAATTGTGCCTCGAAGGTGAGCTGAGAAGACTTTTCCTAGTCATAGTACAAGCTGAGGTATCTGTTTAATATTTGTTTTAAATTTGCGTTGAGAGTTTAAAAATGAATATAAATGGTCTAAAATAAAAGAAGTTTCCTTCTGTAGCACCTTTCTTGGGTCACATGCTGTTTACTATAGGTATTGCTAACTATTGTTATAGTTGAATTTCCAAAATAACCATTAAGACAACTGGTTTATTTTTTTTCTCCTGTCTTAGTAAACTGTGATCTAGGGACCCTAAAGGAAGTTATTGGCTCCTGCATTGCTATGGATATGTCCACACTCAGAGAGTATGGTGGCTCCTGCAGGAGGTTTTAGGGGTAAGGATGAAAGTGGTACATGCCATTTCTACCTACACTCAGTATGCTCAACGGCCACACAGCTCCAGACACCAGGAGACCAGAAGTGTCTCTGGACAGCATGGCCAGTGGTGAACATTCGAAGTCTCTTTGCAAGCATGGACATTCTCAACTGTATCTGTGTCAATATTTTATTATAAAATTTTTAATCTGAACTCAGAAGGCAGAGGCAGGAGAACCTCTGAGTTCAAGGCCAGCCTGGTCTACAAAG